TCTCATTCAAGCTCCCACGAACGACACCACAAAAAGTGGAAGAAGCAGAAAAAGTGCGATCTTAAATTTGCATGTACACAGACATTTATTTATTCAAGGGCGAATATATATATTTTGTATGTATTTTAACGCTTTCAGTGTTTACTGCTGCCAAATTCACGCCATTTGTCCGAAAAGACGGAATAAAAAATGGCCGTAAAAATGTTTGGCTCGCGAAATTCGTATTTGCCTACTTCGTCCCAATTTCGTGGTACAACTCATGCATATACATACTTCGGGACTTTTCACATTCGTGAAGAACTATTATTCTTTCTTTGCTCCATTTACTACTTTTTAATCTTTTTTCCCACCACCTACGTATATTAAGTTAAGTCCCGACTTAAGACGTGACATTTGTAGCTAAAGTATTTTGCGAGCATTTTCATGTCAACTTTTTTTTCGAATTTTTCTAAAAAATTCAGGAGCTCGCACAATATGTAAAAACAACTACTCACTGGATCACATCATAACTAATATATCACATCACCACATCACATCAATATATCACATCTCAGCATATCAATAGATCAACATATCACTGTAACAGCAAAATGTATCACAAAACAACAACTTCAGATATGAGTATATATGTATGTATATATGGATATGTAATAGCCAAGTAAATCACTAAAGGGTGAAGATAAACTGGGATATAAAAGCTCTAAGTAAATACCAGTGTTTTGAAGTTAAAATCATCACCGTTAGTGATCTATATATTATAGCAGTTCACCAGCAACGGTAGCAGTGATAATTTCTACAAACGTTTGCTGTCTTTATGTCTAGCACTCCAGCTGGCTGAGTTTCATTCTCAATTACGCTCTGTTGATGCAGTCAAAACGATGCTCATCGCCCGATACGATCGTCACTATGGCCCAGTGGTTACAGGTTATCACGGAGACGCATGAGGTCCACAATAGCGCGTGAGGTTAATGGCTTAAATCTCGTAACAGATACACTGATTTTTTTTATTTAATTTTTTTTTTTTTTGAGGTAGAAATTCAAAATGCATATATGAACTAGTATACAACTAGTATAAAGCTGATGCATATTCGGACAAATGCCAGTTCGTAGGACAACGGCGTAAGTGAAGTACATGCGACAACGCAAACTGTTGTTCTACCCCGCTCAGGTACAGGCTAGTTAATCTAAGTCACCAAAGTCATCTATCGGGAGGTCCAGGAAGCGAGCTGTTCCGACGGGTTCGGACCAGAGGAAGAGTGGGGTTATATGTGTCGGGTTTAGGGGGCATGTAAAGAGATGATAAGTGTCGGGCGGCGACTCGTAAGGTATGTTGGTTTCTAGGCTGGATAAGTAGGAGTTGGAACTGCTACAATATCCAGGTCTAGGAGGCAGCACGAGCTCTTTCTCTTCTACGGCTGATTATTTGACTCCGAGGACGCTAGTCACAGGGAGGATGTTGCTGAATGTGTTGACTAACTCTTGGAGAATAGCGCTTAGCGGCTGTCTGTACGCCGCCCTGTCCAGCGGGTGTTGTACCTATTGCTGGATTGTATCCTGTAAATCTAGTACTCTCTTTCGGCCTTGCCTGGATAAAGGATCAGTCTCAAATAGATGCCTCTTGGGGTGATTCCTGCAGTAGATACATTAGACAAGGTATTTAGGGGCGGTGAGGTACTATTTCCCTGGGACTACTTCCCTGACACTGGGCTGGAAGGTCAAGAAGAGGTGTTGCTACGCTACTTTACAAAAAAGTAAAAGGATTTAAAGACGCGTGATGTCCTACTTCTCTCTGAGGTGGTCTGGGCGAGATACTACGCTGCTCATTGGCAAATTAGTATATAATTATTTTGAGGCGGCGAGAATCGCAAGATTGCGAGACCAGTAATACTTTTTCCCTCCGTTAACCGATCGGCGTTCTACTACGTAACCGCTCTCCTTCCGACATTGTCTTAAACCCACAGTTTATTTCGTTGGCTGCACTTTGTACTTAGAAAATTTGAAATGTACCGTTGCGTTGTTGGAACCACCACAACTACAACTACTTACGCATACCCTAGCATGTAGAAGGCTTATTATTGGCCCTGCTCTGGAGAACAATACCACCCTTTACAGTTTGAAATCAAACATCAAAGTATTTATTTTTATCCTCCACAAAAATCAGTTGACTTCATTAAACGAATAAAAATACCTCAAGCCCTGCTCACAGCCCTTGCCACTTGCAAATTAATTAACACCTCAGAGGTATTGAAATAGAGTTGACGCATGCAAAGCAAGCAATTACCAATTCAAGAACTCAGACACGCTGGTCAAGGGCACTTATCCAAACACTCACATGCAAGCATCCATTCATAAGTACGCAAATCCATTGCCCTCCAGTCATTTGTCATTTTATCAGCACCCTTGCAAATAGCCTTTGGTGATTGTGTCTGGAATAATTTTAAAATTCCTGTGAGTTCACTGGCAAGATTGGCCAAGAGTTCAGCAGATTTTGCTGTTATTCATACTTCTCCTCATTTTCTCTTTCCTCTCTGTTTTTGCTGGTAACTTTGAAGGCACTTATCCTTTGCAGCAAGAGGCGGTGACAGAGGAGTGAATGTGAAAGAAACAACAACAAGATCAGATTTCGTAGTTTCGAATTTTCAACTAAGGGAAAAAGACGTTTGAAGTAGCTAAAAGTGTGGTGCATTTTTGGGGTAAAGAGTGTTTAATAACAGTAGATCGTATTGCTTTATCGGTTATTAAGCATTTTTGAAATTTCCAAATTCGTGTTTAGGTTGTCTGTATATATTTTTCTTCAACCAGTGGAGAAGTGCGCGCTTGTAGAAATGTAATCAGCCTGAATGTATGCTACAACATGTAATTAATATATGCTCTCGTATTTTCATACTCTTCAAAAGTAGTTCCATCAATGTGTTCACTATCTTTTATACAAAAAAAGACACTGCAAATATTTTCTTGTCATTCGTTTACCGTTTGCAGACAGCATCGCAACTTCATTACTTTTTTCTGCGTATTTCCATTTTACGTGCTCTCTTTTTCCATAAATCTCAAACACGTTTCTAATAGCAACTCATCCGCTGCTGACTTCCGCAATCCGTGTATAGCCGGCAGCATTTCCTGATACAAATGCGATGGAGAAATTCAAAAAATAAAAAAAATTAAGGAAAGCACCAAAACGTAGAACAGAAGGAGTTGAATAGAGCTAGTGGAGTTTCCTTGGAGTTGTGAAAAGACAACCCAAACAGGGTATAAATCAAGTAACAGTAAGATCAGCTCTGAAACTAACTGAGAACCACCAAGGGATTTTTAAGGGGAACTTTTATTACATGTCAGAAATACACTCGAGAGGATTTGACATGCTTGGATGTTCATCAAACTGGGACTCGAAACCTGGCATTTCGAATTTCAGAACGCGATGCTAACCATTCGGCTATTCAGTTTAATACCGTTCATTTCATTTAACTTACGATTTTAAATTTATTAAAATTATAAAGCAGATGGCAACTCTTCTCAAAAGTTGCCACCATTAATCTTTTGAATTTAATGTACTTTATAAGGTGGCAACGCCGCTCAAAAGTTATTTTTCATTAAGCCTTTCTTGAATCTATATTATATGATTTAATTTATTTTTATTACATTTTTTGAATTTAAAAAATTCAGAACAGGTGGTAGCTCTGTGAGTTGTAAATCTAAATTTGAGGTAGAGCGCCATGCAATACAAGTAATAATTTTATGAGACTCGGTTCAATCATTCAGCAACACCAAAGTCCTAGACACACTTCCAGAAGACTTTGTTTGGTATATAAAATATTTTAAATCACATGGCAGCTCTGCTGAATTATAATTTAACTATTATTGAGCCCACTTGAATGCATGCACAGAATTCGGTTTTAATCGTTTAAGCCGTTTAAGCGGAATTTAGTCACAAACACGCATACAGAGTAATTGTATATATAATATATGTAATAAATATTGGTGTCACGCCCATTTTTCCCAATTGGGTATGCTCTAAACTAATAGCATAAAGTTGGAATAAGTGTTTAAATTTGGTTGAATCCTGTGAAGCTACATTCGAGTTATAAGGTAACAACTGGAAGTTAACTTAGTTTTATACAAGAAAATGGAGGAAGTTACCACGCCCACTTTGTTAAATACCAAATTCTAAAACACATGAACGAAATATATAATAGTCCAAATGTGCCGCGTAAATTTTGTTAGATTCGTTTGAGCCGTTCTTGAATTGTGAGATAACAGCGAAACACGCAAAAATTTTTATTTACTCTATGCGTTGCCTACCTTTAGGCGCACAATTTGCTTATTTAATCAAAGCAAATCAATATTACGTTTTCCGCTGTCCAATATTTGCGCTAAAATTTCAATTTTCACCTTCAATCACTCTTAATAATTTATTTATTTTTGTAAATAATTTTATTTACAGTTGAATAAATTTACCGTCAAATGTAGCAAACTAACAGTAAAAAATCGAATGTGATAAATTCAAAGCGGAAGTGAATTGCAAATAAATCCAAATAAATCTTTTCAACAGCGCAATTCGATTTACACGCGCTTTGTGACTTATTTACGTTAACAAAATTTAAATAAACAAAAAAAAATGTTTACATAGAATTTCATCGTTAACTTTTGTGGATATTTTTCATTTTTTTTTGTTGTTGGAAATAAAACAATAAAATGGAAGTAAAAACAATAAGTTGTTTAAATTTGGAAAAATTCTCTATTTCGGCTTACGCACTCTTTCTCCCTCTCTCTCTCTCTCTCTCAGTGATTTGATGGAATATACGCGAATGAAGCTATATATTAGCTGCCCCTTATTAGACAAGTTCTGTTTGGAACAAAATTTTTATTTTTCTGTTTCCAAAAATAGAAATAAATATTATACATATATATGTGTCCTTTGTTTCTTTCTTTCTTCATTTACTATGTTTTATTTATTTACATTTTACTACAGACTTTCCTCTACTTTTCTTTTCTTTTGTTTTCAGGTGGATCTTCGGCATATCGACGAACTGAACGGCACAAATGTTGTTGAAGTAGGTGTGGATTTATCAGAATTTTACACATCAGTCGAATGGGACATATTGGAAGTTCCTGCAGTGCGGTAAGTCAAAGAAATATAAAATTATTACTCATGACACCAAGATAGACCTTAACATAAATGTATCCAAAAGAAATGGGCATTAAAAACATGTAGGGGCACATAAATATAGAACAGAACAGATCTAAAAATCCAAACCTCCTTTCTAAGCCTCAAATCGGCATACGGCAGCAATTGTACATTATCATAAAAGATTTTATCTTCCTAATAAGTTCATTAGTTTATATGATCTTCTCCAGCAATAAGTTAAAAAAGTCACACGATTAGGAATCAACTTGACTGACAGCTTAATTGATGTGAACAGGCTAGGAGAGATCCTTCACTATGCTGAGGAAGCTTTTGGTCTTGCTTAACATCTTTTCGTGCTGCGAAAGGCTGCTTTAAAATCAATGAAAATGTGATGTGTGTCGATCCTTTTTCTGCATGAATATCGGTTCAATGGCTGATCTACAATCTTCTGATGTTCCCTATATAAATTCAGTATGCGAAGGTGTGACAATTAAGTAATGAGACTGATTCCACAAAAACCATAAATTTCAAAACTATTCTACATAGTTTCCTATATAGTCCACTTTGGGCGGACATACAATGATTCCCGCGCGTTTTCCATGCTTCGTAACATTTCCAGAACGCTTCGAGTGGGATGCCCGCGAGTACTCTCGTCAGGGCCGCCTGAATGTCCTCAATCGACTCAAAATGGGTTCCTTTGACCACCGATTTTATTCTAGGGACAAAATAAAAGTCACGGGGTGATATATCAGGCTAATAAGGTGGTTGTTGCAACATGGCGATCCCTTTGGAGGCCAAATACTGGGACACGCTAAGGGCGGTGTGGCACGGCGCGTTGTCTGGGCGCACCCTGTTGACTCGTTTTTGCTGTCTTTCCAGTACTTTGCGATATTAGAGTTGATTTACAGTTTGCCTCGATGGAGAAGTTCCTTGAGGACGAGTCCACGGCTATCAAAAAAGGCAATAATCTTCGTTTTCACCTTCGACTTGCGAGGCTTTTCAGGGGGGGTGGCCTTCGATACATCTGCATACGACTAAGAGCGCTCTTTCCAGGCGTTCTTATAATTTTAGCATACGATTCCAAAGTTGTTTCGCTTAATCTGGCGCAAAATTTTATCGCGGCGCGTTGAACTTGATTTCGTTTTTCCATTTTCGTGCCGAGCACCAGGAACACACGTTTACTCAACACGACAGAGCAGAGGAGTGATAGCACATATATTATTAGAAAAGGAAAAGGATGCCGAGAGAAGGTAAAGTGTCGCGGTCGCAGGGTTACCACAATCGCGGCAATATAATCAGTTTCATTACTTAATTGTCACACCTCATAATCTTAGCAACAGTTTTTGGAGTCTTTGCCTTCGCCGTAAAGGCCAAATTTTCCGACAGCCATGCCGAAGAACCAACCTTCCCTTATATCCAACCTTCCATTTTATGACCTCTGTCTCTACGCCACCAAAAGCTCAATACCAAATTTTTACTCGTATTCGGCTTTCCCCTAGCACTTCTTAGCCAATGGTGATTTCAGGCTTATGAGTCTAACGAGGACAAAAAATCCAAACAAGTATGAAAGTGAAAAATTCTGCTTACGTAAGTCCAATACGTGTACACCGTGTGTTATTACTCAAAGAATTTTAATTCATAGATCTTCAGAAGAAAGTTGGGTCTGAACTGTAGGGCGGATGGTAAATTACTGTACCTTTCAAAGCATCCCTTGCAACCCGAGCATGTGAACGGGTGCGTTGTCTTGAAAAAAAGCACTCCGCGCGCTAACTTGCCAAGCTTCTTCTGTACGACTGCCGCACACGTCTGACTCAACAAAATAACGTAATATCGTACAGTGTAGTTCCCTTTAGCAAGTAATCAATTAATAATATTCCCTCGCTAGGCCAGAAAATGGTAAACATAATCTTCGGGGCCAACTTCTCCATTTTGAATTTTTTTTGGTGACCTTTCTCCATTTTTATCCCCATTTTTTATCTACTGCATCGACTTCTGTTAGGACTAGAGATCGTACTGACGAGCTCAAGTTTCCTGAACTGTTGCAGTGCGATTGCAAATTTCATCCAAATCATCTTGGCAGAAATCCAAAAAATCTTTACAACCCTCGAATGGTCGCTGCGTGTCGAAAGGCGTGAGCTTTCGCAGTACCCAACGCGCACTAATTTTTTCATATTTAAATTTCCGTGTAAAATCTCTCCTTCTTCTTTGCTAAACTGAAATCTTTTTGCTATCTGCCACAATTTAATTCTTCGAGCAGCCAATGCTAGTTTTTCGACTTTCTAAACACTTTCTTCAACCACGACTTTCCCGGGGCGCTCCGGACGGGTATCACCTTCAATGGTCTGTCTTCCTTGTTGAAACATCCGAGTTCATTTTTTCACCATCGTATATGAAGTGGCAGAGTCCTGAGGAACCGATGACATGGAACTTAATCACAGTGCTCCAAATTGCTTGTTCCAGGAGCGCAATGCTATGGACCCTAATGTTTCAAATCGAACAAGTATATCTGGAGAAAGAGATCTGCTGCGAAAACGTTGTGGTTTTCGAGCTTTTTTCCGCAACTTCTACCGACCAAAACTGTTGTTGTAATTTTTTTACTATTTCCAATTAAGATATGGTCTGAGACAGTTCCGTAAAACCAAAAACCGATAAAAAAGTTGTATTATTTATACTGAGTCCCGCAGTTAGTATTAGCAGTACAAGCACTTTTTACTGTATTGAGACCTGTCTATAGGCCTATGAAGATGAGTATTTGCTTTGAGTTCATTAAATTACTCCCTCTTTGAAATAATCGTAAATATTTAGGGGAAATGAGTTGTGGACTTATTTGTATGTTTTTCATTTGTCAAAATATATTATTTTTCCTGTTTCATGTTATTCTGTGTATTCCACCTTCAAAGGTAAATTAATAGCTCAAGTCGCCGCACAGCGCTTAGGCCTTGATTGAGTCAACATCATGAATATGACAAAGCGTATTCATAGCTAAGGGACAAATAATAATATTCCCCAGAGCAGTGTAGCGCATATGTAACGCACTAAATATGTATATGTGTGTGTGTGTAGATTACATAACATATGTACATATATATTTGATTTGCCTGTAGCGAATATTAAGACATTTTGTCAACGTCACAATGGAGCTCCAGGGAAGTATGTGGATTTCGGACAAACAACAAGCAATAAACAACTAGCAAAAGCAAAAACCAAAAAGCAAAAAGCAAAAAGCAAAAATAAACAGCAGCTGACCTTTCTATTAACAGTTAGTAGTGGCAATAACGATGACACAGTGGCACGTTGCTTAATCAGAGAGAAAAAATGCGAGAAGGTACAAATTACGCTGTGTAAGGATGTAAACAAGGAAGAAAAAATTACCAAAAACTAGATGAACCCACACACACACACACACACACACATACACGCCTACTTATTTTCCAGCAGTTTATAAAGTGACAGTATTTGTCAAAGAAAAACGACGAGTGATACACATACATAGTTATACATGTGCGTATGTATGTCGTACGTATGTATGTACATATATGTGGCGGGTATGTTTGATAGAGGCACGTCAACAATATGCCACCAGCATACCTTGCACTTCTCATAACCATCAAAAATGTCGCTCACCTTTTTTGCTCGCAATGCCATTTTTTGCTTTTTTTCTCTCTCTCACGTTTTATTCCATATCCGTTATCTGGCTTGCTTAGTAGCTCCTAGTAGCACCAAAGTTCGCCTGCAACAGAAGGAGGAACTATTAAGAAAAGTGAATATGACATGAAAAAAGACATAATTGTTTGGAAGATGACAAAAAAAAATGCCGTTGGCGTGACAAGAGTCAACAACAAGCACTTACGCCGCTGCACGCACACACACACACACACTAGCCATGTGAGAGCAAGCCTGCCAGCTGTTGGCGGCTCGTTTTGTTGTGCAAAGTCATTGAAGTCCTTTTTTTTCTTTTTTTTTTTGGAATTTATGTAGCCATTTTGTATATAAATTTATGTACGTACCATTGTGTATGTGTATGTGTGTACCCATTTCGTTGTGCTCCTATAAACTTTTCTTCTTTCTACTTTGCAAACATATTTCGAATTTTTTTTAAGCATTTTTCCCTTGCTTTGTTCGAATTTCGTTTCCTTTATTGCAAAGCTTTGCCTCTCTTTTGTGTGCTTTACTGCGCCTTGAGTTATGCTATAAATGATGAAGTTGTCATGACGTTGGAAAAGAAGTCTCGCTTAGAAATTGGCTTCTTTTATGTAGACGACAGAATCGTCTTCAACCTTTTTACGCTTTTTTGTATAGGTACAACTTAGTTTTGAGACATTTTTGTCAATTAAAGGGATTAATAGGGCTGTGTCATACATTTCCCTTGTACAGGCTACCAGCTGCTCTCGTTATGTTGGAAGAGATTTACTGGTGCTGCTCAACAGCTCAAGATTTGTTACCAGCTTCATAAAGGCTAGATATCTATTTTACAGAGGTATATTTCTGCTCCTTTCCTTTTCTTGAGCTTATAAGAGCCGAAAAGTGGTTACAAACCGCCAATTATTAGGTCAAGTAAAAAGTTCGTTCGGTTTTTATCTAACAGATGACATTATTGTCCATAGTACTATTGTTACGAGTCGCATCATGTCATACTGCACGGCGCTGGAAACGTGTTTATTTACGCTAAAAGTTTGTCTTTGACAGTTTTTCGATTGCTTGACTCAGTACGTCGTGAGCGATCGTCCAAGATGGACACCAGCAAAGGGAAAATTCGCTAAATTTTACAATTTTCCTTCGATCAAGGCGAAAAAGCAGCCAAAGCGGTTGAAAAAATTAATTTAGCTTATGGGCCCGACACTATAAACGAACGTTTAGCACAAACGTGGTTTGCTAGGTTCCGTTCCGGTAATTTCGATGTCAAAGATGCACCACGCGTCGGGAGGCCTGTCGTCGAAAATTGCGATAAAATCATGGAAATAGTGGAAACAGACCGTCACGTGGGCACTTATTTA